CACGGATGAGATTGACGAGGTCATCAACCGCATCGCGCCCAGCACGCTGACCGTCGCCGTCGTCATGGACAGCATGGACTGGTTCGACCCCGACTCCTCGGCCGCGGCTGCCCAGATCACCAAGCTCAACCGCGCGCTCAAGACGGGCGGCCGCGTGCTTCTGCGCTCGTCAGGGCTGAGCCCCTGGTACATCAAGGTGTTTGAGGCTCATGGCTTCTCTCCCAAGCGTGTCGGCGCTCGCACCCCGGGAACTTGCATCGACCGTGTCAACATGTATGCGTCGTGCTGGATCTGCACGAAGACGGAGAACCTCCCTCCCCCGACGCCGGAGATGGACCGCGCGGGCGGCTCAGAGATTACGAGTTTCTCTCTGTAGACGTGAGTTCGTGATCGCAGATGCTACTGTTTTTGGGAATCCTATGGGTAGCGCTGGGGTTGAATATGATGATTTATGAGAGTTGGTTTGTGCGGAATATCAAGAATGCTTCTTAGGTGTTGCTCAAGCGTTGGAAAATATACGAAAAATAATGATGGTCCCTGCATTCGTTGCTTGCTGCATGTCAATCAATACTGGTGTTACCCACATGATGCCCTGTAGACGACAACGTCCAGAACTGGACGATGCCCATTCCATGTCTTTATTCTTAACCGGTGTTTAATTCATGCACTTTGGCATCCTATCATCACTTCTTGTCTTCATATAACTTGACCTCTTTTCATACTCATTCTGCATTCCATACTTTGTGTCTGTAGGTAGGGTACCTTGCCTAGGAATTCAGTAGTGGGCATCATAGACTACAAGCCCGAGTTACTTACAATGGATACCTCCTTTGGTAGTAGTTGTCTAGGACTTACAACTCAGGTTGAGCACCACAGATCGATAAAGGCCAGGAACTTAACAATATAAATACTGTCAAGGTACCTAGGGTGTCGAATAGACACTGCAATGAATGCCATAGTGAGCAGGCGCTCTTAGAAGTGGCCGTCCAGAACTCTTCCTGGTACCTTACCCCAAATCCACTGGCAAAGAAGGGGCCACCAAGTACCTTTTTGCTGGCGTCGCTGCCGTGGTACATCCCCAGACTTTGCGTTCAGGACACTACACGGGTGCGCCCATCAACTTCCAATGCAGGGGGCGCTCGACCCATACTTTTACCACAGTCAACCAATCCAAGAAGCATGCTGGCGTGCCGGGCGGCGCGATCTCGACCTCCAGTGACCCTTCGACGTCAGCTCTCGATACTCCAATCCCGACATCTCTTTCCATCTCAACGTTCGAAGACGACGACCTGCATGATCTAGCCTCATCACAAACTGGGTCTCACTTGGGAAACCCGACAGCAGACAGCACGCGATGCCTCCCGCTGCGAGCCAGAAGGGCACCGGCAAGAAGGCCGGGCCCAATGCCATGCGACAGCGCAGCCGCAACACGACCCCGAGCTCCGTCGTTCCATCTGCCAGCCTGCCCCCTATCGAAGCCGTCGACACCGACTATCTCGAATTACGCGTCGAACAGTTCCGTAATCTCAACTATGACGACCTTGTTGACCAGGGCGCGTCCAACGCCGTCATCCCGGACTCCAAGAGCCTTGATGGCATGATCGCTCGCCTCCAGCGCCTGCAGGAGACCATAGACAGACGGAGCAATTTCTGCGACAGAGGAATGCGCATATTGGCGAGCACCCGTAAGCAGTATATCAACGACGTCGACGAGGACGCCAAGGAAGGTGTCAAGGCCGAGGGCGATTCCAAAAAGACGGGCAAGACGAACAAGAAGAAGAGGAAGGCCGCAGATACCCTGGCACCCCAGGATGCAGCAGTCGGTAGGTCACCAACCTCTTTCGGCCTTGCCTGGCCTAGTGTCCTTTTCACTTTTTTTTCGTGCTCTTGGTTTATTCGTGGGGCATGCGACACTTATTGGGATTTCACTTGTTTACCGCGAATCATCCTCGTATTCACCACCGTACTGACTTCACCCGCTGCTCCAGAGCGGTCATCCCCGCTTCGGGAATCCACTAAACCACGAAAGCTTTCGCGCGACAACGACTCGGCCAGTTCTTCCCTGTCACCCGTCGCACCCGCCACTCCGTCAGCAATGGAAGTCGACGACAAAACAAAAGCAGAGGAAAATGAAGAGGAGGAGAGCTCAGAAGACGAGGGCGCGCCGCCAAAAAAGGCGCAGCCCGCTGCTCACACTTTCGGCGACGATCCCTCAACCTTCCCCGACCCGACAGTCTATGAAATTCTCCCAACGAAACCCGGCATGTCAGCAGACGAGCTGAGGCAGATTTACTCTGTCGCCGTGTTCCCCCAGAGCGATCTGGCCGATCTCATCGCAGGAGATCCGCCCGACAAGGATTTTAGTAGCGCCAAGCCCAGTAACCAAATCAGCTTTTCGACCTTCTCGACGTACATGGAACCATACTTCCGACCATTCGCCGAAGAGGATCTTGCATTCCTGAGGGAGCGCGGCGATCGCGTGACGCCCTTCCACATGCCTAAGAGGGGCAAGAAACACTATACCGAGATTTGGGCAGAGGAGGATGGCGCCATGTCACTCGACAAGCCCTCGAACGCGCGCGAGCAGTTGGCGCCCAACCAGGCCCGTGGTGCCATTGATAACATGGACGACGAGGTGGCGGAAACCGACAAGCTGTCCGTGGGACCGCTGCTCTCGCGGCTCATGCAGGCGATGCGACCCGAAAACCGACCGCAGGCCGATGAAGAGAAGACAGGCGTCAATGGTATCACTAACGGGGACACGGCCATGAATGGTAGCGTAAACGGCGACAACGGAGATGCGCAGCAGAGTTTCAGCGACGATAAGGCGCCGCCAGTACCCCCAGCAGCCTTCATGCCGGAATCGAACTCAGAGGCGTGGAAGAAGGCGTCACATCCAAAGCTAGAATACACGCAGGTCGATGAACGAATCAAGCAAGAGCTGAGGCATATTGGCTTCTTGCCGCAGGAAGGAAACTTTGAGGGCGAGTACGACGGCGCATTCGACGACGAAGTCGCAGCCAGATTACGACTCCTACAAGGTCGCCTGCGAGAGCAGATGCTCATCAACGGCGCACGCAAAGCCAGACTTACCGAGCTTGTCAAAGAGCGCATGGCCCACCAGGAGTACCAAACCATTCTGGAGGATCTTGATTCCCAGGTCCAGGCCGCGTATCTGAAGAGGACGCGTACTATGGGCAAGAGCAAGAAGAACAAGCGTCCCGGCGGCGCGGGAGGCGGAAGCCATGCTGTCGGCGGCGCGGCTGGCATGGCCAGGCCGGGCATCGGCGATATGACCAAGACGCTCATGGAGCGGCGTAAGCGTTGGATCGATACTATAGGATCAGTATTCGATGACGAGAATCTGGGCAAGGTTCCGCGCAGCTCAGAGCCCGACTCTTCGATTTTCAGGGCGGGGATCATGGGTGATTTGATGAAGAAGGAGAAGGCACAATGGGACGAGGAGGTTGAGGAAGAGTAAACGGTTGCTCTGCGATGTTCAGTGTCTAATGAATCAGTTTGACATCTGTTATGACTAGTAACTCTACTTTCTGGGTTTGGTTTCGGTGGGAGGCAGGCAATACGACTTTTCACTGGGCACAGTCGACGGCGTTTGGGCATTCATAGAAACAGTGAGAGAGAGAGGCCTAGTGCGAACGAATAAGGTGTTTTGGGAGTTATTGATAGCAACTATGGCTTGACCAGGTCAGAAGAGCAAAGATACCGGTTACTCAACCCAGAACTGCATCCACAGCCAACGTTTTGCCCATATCCAAGTCGACTACCAAGTCAGCCTTGACATAGGCGCCCCTCTACCTCCTTGAAGATACGTCTGCTTTGACTAAACACTGCCAGGCGCTGTGGGCTCGCCGTTCAATGGCCCTGCACGTCTTCAACTCTTGCTTTTACCAAACACTGCCAGGCGCCGTGGGCTCGCCGTTCAAAGGCCCTGCACCTCTCCAACTCGCAATCATTGAAAGCCAGAAGCCAAATTGTCGGTCGTAAAACCCTCGAAAAGGCGGATTAAGCTCCTCGACGGCTTATCTAAACATCCACCCCTTTTGGCTTCCTTTTCTCGTTGTCGATTGCTCTAAAGCGGATAAGGGTGCGGTATGATGGATTTGCTGCTCGTCCTACGGCACTTATCCAAGCTGCCGTACTTGTTGTGAGCTGGTAACGTTAGCCAACCCCGTCGTCAAACACTCGAAAAGATGGGAAAGGGGCTACTCACTGGCTTCCCACCACGCCGCTGAAACCATGCCTCTGTTGCAACCAATGGCGGTTTCGAATTGGAACGCGAGCTCGCCGTCGCGTCCGTGGTCTTTCCCACAGTAGTGAGGATACGCATCGTGAGACCAAGCCGCGCAGCTGCAAGTCGATGATAAGCAATCGATGAAGCTTTGGAAGGGTCTACATAAGAGGGTGACACTCACTGGACTCCAAACTGTTGCAGTCCTTTCCAGAATCTGCTGCAGATCTCGTCAATGTCTGCATTGTCGGGGAGGTTTACCGTTGTGCCTGAGTATCGGCGAGACGACGGCGCGAACTTGGTAAGCCCATAGAGGTTCATGAAGCATGAAACCTCCGGCTTGCGCATTCTGCCTTTCCCGCCAGTAGGTTCTGTACTGGCGAGGGAGAGGAGTGTCACCCCGAGGATGAGGAAAGCTAGCTTTGAGACCTTCATGATTGGCAGGATATTGGTGTTTGAACTTGGTGGAATGCTGATGTTTGAACCTGATGAGATGCTGATGTTCGAGATCGCTGCTGGATTGACGGCCACGAGAAGAGTCTTATATAAAGATGGAAGGTTCACGACTAGAGAAGATCAGGTTGACTATCGAGTTGTCTTCGCAAATTCCAAACTCTCTGTGCAGTGGCTGCTTGAACTGCAGAGATGACATCGTGGCTGCTGCACTCTAGAAAAGTATTTACATCGAAGTGGAACCGCACATCCTTCTCATTCTGTTTGCGGCTGAGGCGGAACGGAAAACCAAACAGACTCACTTCTTCTCGCAGCCAATTCTGCCGTACTTGTTCTTGGTGGCCTCCCACCATGCGGCCTCGAGCATCCCCGTGTTGCAAGCCAGGCCGGTCTCGAATTCCCACTCCAGCGTGCCCTTCTCGGTGCCTTCGCGGCAGAACTGCTTGAACAGACCAAAAGACCAGACCCTGCGCGGCGTGTTGGTCGGCAAGCAGGGCGTCAAATAGTTCCCCAACATCTGCAGGACAGAGGAGACAGGAGAGGGAGAGATCTTACTGGCACATCCAAAAGTTCCTCAGTTCCATCCACAGCTTGTGACACACCTTGGGGATATCATCCTCAACATTGTATGCATTGACAATGTACCGGTAGTTGACCGGAACCGGCTGGCCGCCGATGTGAATCTGGCCAACTTTCTTCCGATGGCACCAAGGTTGTTGAGCGTCCCGGTTGACCAGGCCTGCGAGGACGGAGCAGATTGTGCTGACGATGAGGAGGACTGCCAATTTCATCATGACCAGGGGAAGACTGGGGCGGTCTGAAAAGTTGGCGATGGTCAGAAGCAGAGTTGACCAGAGGCGAGAAAAAGGCATGTGATGTGGACTCTCATCAAGAAGAGAGTACGGTTGTTTACTTGTATCCGCTCATCCTGGTTACACGGATCGTGAGTTCTTGGATGCTTTTGTGCTGGTTCTAAGGGTGACAGTCACACGTAGTTCGACTCGGGCAAACAAGAGAAGAACAAAATGGCAGTGGCGACAACGAGTGTTGTACATATCACGAAAAAGTGTAGTAAATATTTTTCATACTCAGACTTGAGCTTTGTGATATTAAGCCTTAGAATGAATCGCCGGAAACAACACGACGAAACATCTTCAATGAGTTGGATGACCAAGTCTTTTGCAGTCACAAGGTAGAGAGGCCTACGGGTCTTCGTGGCCATCGGATGAGGCTACACAGGTTGGGGATGCTGGATTCCAGGCAGCGCGAACATGCGGAAATTGGAAAGAAATTCAAACTCCTGGAAAAGTTGTCATACATCTTGGCATAGTCAAAGCCCCTCGCAAACGACCTGTTCTTGAAAGCACTGGAGTTTTCACAATCATCCCGGCAACGACTTGGGCCTCCTTAACAGCCAGACGATGTCCAACATGGCAAGGTGTCTTAACCCCGAGAATATCCAAGGTATGCGCTACTTTCTATTGGCAGAGAGTCTCTGTTTGTTATTTGGCGTAAATCCAAGAGCCCGGCCATGGTGAAGCTCCCTGAGCGAGGCTTCGATATCCAAACCAACATATTGGGTATTCCGTCTGTTGTCGGCTTCTTTTCAGGTCATTGCGGCATTCAGGGCTTTGTTCTGGATAGTACGTCTTCGTCCCCTTAACTCTTCGCCATCGCCCATTTCGACTCATATAATATTCGTACCAGCGGCACTTTGTTCGACCGACACGGTTCCAGGTCTGTGAGAAGTAAGTAATTGGTAGTCAGTTGACAACCCCGGATATACGGCAAGCGTGGGAGGTTTCGATGCCCTGGAGTCGGGAGGTGGTGTTCGGGAAGGCTTCGACGGCCCGATGCATGAGACGGCGCTCAAGCTTATCGCCTAAAATTGGACGTAATGCCTATTAGACAGAAGCGAGGCGTGCATTGGTGGTTCTGTGCCTGTCGCCCAAGGGCCTTCCTTGTGCGGGGTAGCTGCTACGGTGGGCAGTTGGTGGGGGGCCTATCAGAGCCTGCCCTTCTGGGAACTCACCCAAGGGCCCGGGTCTTATCAATCATTCCACTTGGCCGCCGGTCCAGGCCCGAGGGCGGCCACCAGCGCTTTTTTTTTTTTTTTCCTTTCCTCTTTCTCCCGTCTGATTGACGGGCCTGGGCGCCCGGGCGCGGGCGCACACGCTGACTGCCGCTATCTCTGGCAGGTGGTGCTGGGGGACGGGAACTCTGGTCTGGTCTGGGGGGTGGGCGCCACACTACCGTCTTTAGCTGACTTGAGGAATTCAATCTCTTTCCGTCCTTCTCATCAACAACTTCCCCAGGCTTTTGTTTGTTTTGCGTGTCATTGAGAGATTCTGGTTTGAAAGTCCCAGCTCGCCAGGATGCATCTCGTACCAAAAGAGGTCTGTACCCCAACTGTCTCTCTCGCGCGCTCTCTTACACATCCCTGTCGCCTTGGCGGTCCAGAGCAAACTGAACGGCACGTTAACGGGGGACGTCGTGATTGTAGCTCGATAAGCTCACCATTTCTCAATTGGGCTTCCTGGCCCAGCGGCGCCTTGCCCGGGGCGTCAAGCTTAACCACTCGGAAGCAACGGTACGAAAACCCCTTCAGGCGGTGATATCGCTGCCATCCAATCTCGCGTGCACTAACACCAACCGCAGGCTCTCATCGCGAACAACTTGCAAGAGCTCATCCGCGATGGGAACCATACCGTCGCCGACCTCATGAGCCTGGGTGCCACCATGTTGGGAAGACGTCACGTCCTCCCCGCTGTGTGTAGTACCCTCCATGAGATCCAAGTCGAGGGCACCTTTCCCTCAGGTACCTATCTCGTGACAGTCCACAGTCCCATCTCGACAGACGATGGTGACCTGGCCCGCGCCTTGTACGGGAGCTTTCTCCCTATTCCTAGCAACGATCTCTTTGCCTTGCCCGAGGTGACAGTATATGAACCCAAGAAGCAACCCGGTGCTGTGGTTGTCGCCTCAAAACGAGTCACACTCAGCGAAGGCCGCAATCGCATCAGACTCAAGGTGACGAGTAGAGGTGACCGTCCCATCCAAGTCGGCTCACATTACCACTTCATCGAGACGAATCCCCAGCTTGAGTTTGACCGTGAAAAGTCGTATGGCTACCGCCTGGACATCCCAGCCGGCACCTCGGTGCGTTTCGAGCCCGGCGACGTCAAGACTGTGACACTCGTCGAGATTGGAGGACACAAGGTCATCCGCGGCGGCAACAGACTGGCAACAGGAGGCGTCGAGCTTTGGAGGGCAAAGGAGATTGTCGAGAAGCTTCAGCTGGCCGGCTTCGCCCACGCCCCGGAGCCGGAGGCCATCCTCAACTTCACCGAGCTGTACCAGATGGAGCGCTCTGCCTATGCGACCATGTTCGGCCCCACGACGGACGACTTGGTGCGTCTCGGCAGCACCGATCTTTGGATCCGGGTTGAGAGGGACTTTACCGTGTACGGAGACGAGTGCAAGTTCGGCGGTGGTAAGACGCTGAGAGAAGGAATGGGCCAAGCGACGGGCCGGCCGGATTCGGAGTCATTGGACATGGTTGTGACCAACGCGCTCATCGTCGACTGGTCCGGCATTTACAAGGCGGACATCGGTGTCAAGAACGGCATGATCTCCGCCATCGGCAAGGCGGGCAACCCGGATGTCATGGACGGCGTGACGCCCGGCATGATCGTCGGCAGCTGTACGGACGTGGTGGCCGGCGAAGGCAAGATCATCACCGCCGGCGGCATCGACACCCACATCCATTTCATCTGCCCCCAGCAGGCAAACGAGGCCGTCGCGTCGGGTATCACGACGATGCTCGGCGGAGGCACCGGCCCCAGCGCCGGCACGAGCGCCACAACCTGCACGCCCGGCAAGAACTACATGCGCGAGATGCTCCAGGCCTGCGACTCGCTGCCGCTCAACATCGGCATCACCGGCAAGGGCAACGACTCCGCGCCCGAGGCCCTGCGCGACCAGGTCCTGGCCGGCGCCTGCGGCCTCAAGCTCCACGAGGACTGGGGCACCACGCCCGCGGCCATCGACACCTGCCTCAGCGTCTGCGACGAGCTCGACATCCAGTGCCTCATCCACACCGACACCCTCAACGAGTCCGGCTTCGTCGAGTCCACCATCAACGCCTTCGCCGGCCGCACCATCCACACGTACCACACCGAGGGCGCCGGCGGCGGCCACGCCCCGGACATCATCTCCGTGGTGGAGCACCCCAACGTGCTGCCCTCATCCACGAACCCGACGCGGCCTTACACTCGTAACACCCTAGACGAGCACCTCGACATGCTCATGGTCTGCCACCACCTGTCCAAGAACATCCCCGAGGACGTCGCCTTCGCCGAGTCGCGCATCCGCGCCGAGACCATCGCCGCGGAGGACGTGCTCCACGACCTCGGCGCCATCAGCATGATGTCCTCCGACTCCCAGGCCATGGGCCGCTGCGGCGAGGTCGTCCTGCGCACCTGGAACACGGCGCACAAGAACAAGGTCCAGCGCGGGTTCCTGCCCGAGGACGAGGGCACCGGCGCCGACAACTTCCGCGTCAAGCGCTACGTGTCAAAGTACACCATCAACCCGGCCGTCGCGCAGGGCTTCGGCCATCTCGTCGGCAGCATCGAGGTCGGCAAGCTCGCCGATCTCGTCGTGTGGGACCCGGCGTGGTTCGGCACCAAGCCCACTCTCGTCATCAAGAGCGGTCTCATCGCGTCGGCGCAAATGGTAAGCCTGACCTCATCCTCACTCAACTTGTAACTGTTACTGACTCCCCACTCACCAGGGTGATCCAAACGCCTCGATCCCGACGGTGCAGCCCATCATCGCGCGGCCCATGTTCGCGCCCCTGGTCCCGCCGTCGTCCGTCCTCTTCGTCTCCGCCGCGTCCATCGAGTCGGGCGCCATCGCCTCCTACGGCCTCAAGAAGCGCGTCGAGGCCGTCCGCAACTGCCGCAACGTCGGCAAGAAGGACATGCGCTACAACGACAGCATGCCCAAGATGCGCGTCGACCCGGAGAGCTACGTCGTCGAGGCCGACGGCGAGGTCTGCCGCGCCGACCCGGCCGAGGAGCTGCCCTTGACGCAGGCCTTTTACGTGTACTAGAAAGAGAGTGAGAGAGAGGAGAGGGGGCAGGGCAGCGCAACGCAACGCGTATTTAACTTGGCAGCAGCAGTAGCATGGAGTCAATGGAGTAGCAAGGGAACTTGTAGTCGCCGGTGGGTTGGATGAGTAACACGGCATATTAATTGTTAAGCAAGTGAGGGGAAGAAGGGAGCAAGCAAAGCACGTCGTTTGGTTTGGGAGAACATTGTTGGGGAAGTTGGCAAGCATGAGCATGGGAGTCTTAATGACATGGATATACGCAGTATGAATCAGCCAAAAAAGCAATATAGCCTCTTTTCTTAATCTTGGCTGAAGAGCAATGAGTTTGACATGACGCTTTTTATTTGAACGCACGCCTCAGTCTTCAGCGAGAAGCGATGAGATCACTCGACGACCTTATCTACTGTAGTTAGAACGACATGAAGAGCCTACATGGGCCAAAAGTTCAATTGATCGACTAAAGTCAACTGTCAACTACAGTTTGAAACTTCCCAAGTCACATGAGATGAACGAGTAACGATCAATTCTTTGTTGATTCATGTCCGTCATAATACATACAGGACACCCAGAGGGGTTCAACGTATAAAAACAAATGCCGACCAGACCAGATCCCTTAGCCGTCGATCCACCTCGCTCATCATAGCTTGAGCGTTTTGTATACCTCGCCTACCCTTTGAGATCCTTAATCACGCCTGTAAAAAATCATACACGCCATGCGCAAATGTGCGCAGCGATTCCAAGGACCCAAGCAGAAGTGGTCCTGTTCCCCAGTCCGGTCCTTTTGGCGCAACCGCCAACACTACGGGGCCACAAGAGGCCAGCAACGGACCGCGAGCAGTGAGGTATCATCTTTGCAAAAACCCAGAAACCCAGAAACCAGAAGAGAAGAAAAGCGAAAGAAAGACAACATTTAGTTCTTCTTCTTGCTGCGGCTCTTCTTGGCAGTGGCAGGCTCCTCGACGGCGTCGGCAGCCTTGGTTGATGTGCGGCGGCGCTTCTTGTCAGGGCTGGCGGGGGTTGTGGTGTTCTTAGCATCGGCCTCAGCGGCCGGGGTGGCAGTCTTGCGCTTGCGGGTGGAGGCGGGCTTCTTAGGGGTCTTGACGGGGGCGGGAGCCTCCTCCTCATCGTCATCCTCGCCGACGGCATCAACGGAAGCGCCCTGGGTGAGCTGGTCGGCAATAGCATCGTTCTCATCGGCAACAGCCTCAGAGGGGGCAATCTGGATGCTGTGCTCCTCGGCGTACTTCAGGGCAGCCTCGTCATCCATGAGCCTGGCATCTTGGTTGCCACCCTGCTTGTAGGCATGGACGCGGGCCTGGTACAGGCGCAGGTTGTACTGGTAAGCGTTGTTCCAGCCAGCCTTCTCGACAGGGTTCATGGCCTTCCAGCGGCGCTGGCCCTCCTCCTGGACAGCACCCTTGGGAGCCTGCTCACCAAGGTCGCTAGCAATGATGGGGCGGGCAGTCTGCATGTAAAGGAAGTAGGGGGTCAAAGGACGCTTAGGAGCGTTGGGGTCGTGGGTGCGCTTCTTGCGCTCCTTCTTCTCCTCAACGGGGGCAGGCTGGTAGGGAGCGCCGGGCTGGAGAGCCAGGGCTGGCAGTCCCATGTTCTGGGCGACGGCATGCTCAAGGTTGAGAAGAGGAAGGTCAATGCCAGGAATGCCCTCGTTGGCAGGCTCGCCAAGAAGCAGGCTGGTCTGGCGGTAGTAGTCCTCAGAGAAGTTCTTAATGAGCTCAAGGATGGTGATGAGGCGCTGGTGGACCTGAACAGTATGGTCAGCATCATGTTTGAAGCAAGTCTCAGTGTGTATGGAAAGTGAGCAATGAAGCTGTAGCTGAGCTTGAGAGCTTGTGTGGGTCGCAGGTGCAAAGCAAGGCGCGGGTTCGACATGGGAACATGTAAACATCGGCGGTAGTGCGCCGCGTCTCGCGCAAAAAAGCAGCTTTGCGAGCAGCAGATAAGGCTTGCTCAATCGCGGAGACTTGGCATTCGCAGGGAAAACTGTGCGAAAATTGGGCACGGCACAGAGAGAAGAGGAGGGAAATCGTGCAAAAAGGTAAGATGCGCGCGTTGATCATGGGTGTAATGTTTTGATGCCGAGAACCAAAGCGCGTAGGCCCTGCAAGGTGAAGCTGGGGCGGACTCGACTCCGGGGCGTTCTACCCGTTCTGGTGTCGGTCGTGGGACAGGGCAGGCCGAATATTCGGTGGGAGTGAAGGGGCAGGACGTGGTAAAAATAAAAATAAAAATCATCTTACCGAATCGCGGACGCGGATGAAACCCTCGACATCAATGTGTCTGTGAGGGATTTGGACGGGAGCAACAGGCTGAGCAGGAGCGACGGGGACGGCGGCGACGGGAGGCTTGGGGGCCTCGGCGGCGACCTTCTTGGATGGGCGGGGCATTGTGATGGTGTTTTTGGCGAGTGTTGTTTTTTAGGCCAGTGGGCGCTGTAGTGAAGATGCTTTGATGCGCGACGATGGTAGCGAAGCTCGCTGAAGAAGTTGGGGGTTGGTGGTGGAGGATTTTGGAAGAGGTGCCTGGGAAAGTGAAGAAACGGGGGAAAAAAGAGGGAAGGGAAGGGAGGTCGGGGGAGGGCCTGAGCCGAATATGTAGTGCAGCCTGCCGGGGAGGGGGTAGCGAGTGATCTGGTGCACTCAGGTCTTGGGGGATGGGGGGGGCCGCAGGAGGGGGGAAAAATTCGGGCAGGTGCGAGTCCGCCCAAATAAAATAAAAATTGGGAGTGACGGGCCTGCCGCTGGTGGTCAGCCTGGCCGCCGTCCAGGGCTCCAGCCCAAAAGTGCAGCTGGGCCAGCTGTCCCGGTGTCCAGGCCTTCCGAACAGCAGCCCTTTTCTCCTCACTGTCCTCTCTGGCACCCCATTACGAACCTTCTCTCGTTCAATCACATCATGCGACACGTAAAAAGTGCCTGACACCCCTGCAGCCCCCCCGAGAGGCGGCATCCACCCAGGGCCTCTAATCAGTAAAAGACGAGAAAAAAATCCCTCGACCATCGCCCGATCGGTCTCTCGTCTGGCTCTGCTGCCCCAGCCAGCAGCAGTAAGCAATTGCTGATGCGCCGCCCCTCAGCATCGTGTTTTTTTGTGCACTTTCATTGTGAGCGACCCTCTCCACCTCTGGCACAGGGCAGCAATAGCAGCACCTCGTGCTCAGCGAAATCTTTGCTCCAGCTCCCTTCAGCCCAGGTGTCCTGAAGCTCCCTTTTCTCAGAACGCACCCATTTACCGCAAAGTGTCCGTTTCTCAGCAGACTACAGCAAACAGCACGCACCTGCCCAGACGGCTAGCCACAATGAGGCCAGAACAGCACAAGCACACACAATCCAGGCCGCCTCAGACACCCTACACGATCACACCCCAGCTCAGGGCCATTGAGAGGGCGAGGCTTGGTGCTGCAAGCTTTCCTCTACCGTACCCGCGGCCCGCCTGGCACTTCCCTTACCTCCCGGTCACCGCAAAAGGTAGGCAGGTACCTGCAACAGGTACCGTACCTGACTGAGGTGACTGGACTTCGCTGCTCTCGAGGTGCTGCCCAGGACCTAAACCTCCCGACCACCAAAGCCTTGTTGTGCCTTTGCTGTATTCTGCTATCGCCCAAGTTGCGACGCGTTGGCAATTGCTTCTTATTCTTGGGAGCAGCCGTATGACTTTCTGGGCATATACTAACTGTCCAGAGCGATGCGAGCACGTGCATCCCTCGTTCGTGGCCGTTGCGGATGTCTCAATCCTCTGGACGCGCCCTCTATTCTGCTGGACCTCGATGTGATGCTCTGGCGATACCTGCACAGGACTTCCGGCGGAGTGGTAATGGTGACGGGATACTTTTCGTTGCGCCCAATTTTCTGGCGGGCGCCCACATTTCCTGCGTGTGCACCATCACACCTCAATTAGCGATGATGCCCTGTCGCCCAATGAGGGGCCCAGGATGGGGGCACTCGCTGTGGCTTCGCCTGAGGGGAACCCGGAAAGAACAACAAGAAAAAAACAAATCCGAGCTGACCAGGGGTGCGAACACTCCTGTCGGCCTAAGGTAGGTACTCCAGGAACCGTACCTGCTTCGGCGGGACTCTCTCTCTCTCTCTTTCTCTTTCTCTCTCTGGGCCACACAGCACATCCGAGGCACCTTGCCCATTAAAGCAGCAAGACCTCTGGCAGGTCAGTGTTGGGCGCCTGTCCCCGCCTGTGTGTGCCTGAACAGAGCGGCCGCCGTTGAAAGCGATGGGCTTCCCTCTCGTCTGACCTGAGGAACCTGCGGTGACGAGCTTCCTCGCCATCGTCCTCTGACGCACTGCGAGTCGAACACCCCCAGAGCCCCCGAGAAAATCCCTTGTTCTCCCGACCACCCCGACAGCGGCCGACAGCGGCCACATTCTGAGGCCTTCCCCACTGTCCTGCTTATTGCTGCTGTGTTTTCCTCCTAAACTTCAGAGCTGAGGCCCCGTTATCGCACCACCAGGCTTCCACCCTTCCAGGTTCGACCCGACCTGCTCGCTCGCGTCCCCCAGGTCCAAGGGCACACGAAGCAAGCTGTCCTCGTCGGCGGTTGCCTTACTCGAAGTCCCCTCAAAAGGCACAATTTTACTGAGGTACCCTCCTGCCGAGGCGCTTTCCCTCGGCCCTCTCCTTCAGATGGCTCCTGGGTTAGGTACTTTCAGCGACGTACCCCATATTCAGTCGACTCAGGCCCAGCTGTCGCTGAATTGTTGGGAGCCTTGGGTCCGTCGATTCCCACGTCTGTTCTCCTCCCCGCCCTCTCTTATGTCGGGCCTGAGGGATCAGTGATCAGCCGGGAAAGAGAGAGGACCGCGTTGAAAGCGGGGTGCGTCAGAAGGCCGCCTGGAGAGTTTTCCAGCTCCCTCTCCGTCTCTCTTTCTCTGTAAGGTAGACTCTGTAGACTTGCCGCTGATCCCATCCACATGCTCAGCGCCCTTCGTGCCTCCCTCTGAGTCTCAGCTGTGGTAGAACTTGTCCCTCGTCCA